ACCGTTTCGGGTTTTCAGAAATACTCTGTACCAACCAGCGCTATGCGCTCGCATTTAAAAACAAAAATAATCAATTTTAAAACATATAATTTTCGTCTTTTCACCTTTTTGCCCGTCAAAATAAAATAGCCTTCCGTCTTTTTTCCTACTACTAAAACTTTTACCCGCAATTTTACACATTTATTTTTATATGGCATCATGCTTCTTTTTTTTTTTTCGCCGCAGCTACACATTTTCAACTCATTCAAGTTTCTGTGTCTTTTAACACGCGACACTCGTTTCTGGCCTTCTAATTGCGTGACTAAGAAACTTTCAGTTCTCTGGTAATCAATTGCTTTTTAATGGTGACAATAACAACAATGTGACGTCTTATTAGCACCGAAAAGGTGGCTTAAAGCGATAAAGCCATCCTGTAAGCGATATGAGCACAAAGAAGATTGTAGAAAATGTCTGCTCAGCATTGACTAGTGAAATCTCAGGAAAATTAGTTACTGTAAGGAAGAAAGACCATGATTTAAATAAAGCGATTCTGAAAGTTGGATAAAAAAGTCGTCGTTTATCAAAAAATTTAAAAATCATCAATGCCGAAGTGGAGATCTAATAAGAAAATATCCGATGATTTATAGAGCTGATTTCTTTCATTTTCCCCTTACCATATAGATACAACGAATGTTAAAAATTGTATTTGGCGTTAGATAAAAAGAAACAGCTACCGCTTGAAAAAGCAATCATTACGCCAGGAAGAATATTTAAAGAAAACGTAGTAGGTTTTTTGAAGAAGAGTTTAAAAAATCTATTTTAAATTAATTATTTTAAAGGCAGAAACGTGTTTAGCGTAGAAGTAGTTTCCTCAAACTCAAATTGTAAGTTGAAATGGTTGAAAAAGACGGAAGAAACCATGGTTATTTGGAAGCGTATAACAGTTGACTACTCGTAGTCGGAAAAAAGTCATCAGACTGAATTAAACTGACCATATTGCAATATCTCTGTTCCATGTAAGCATCCATGGAATTAGCGGCGGCGGAATTTCGTTCATTAAGAGAAGCACCGTAGGCTGAGTGGAATGCGGTTTCAACATTAGCTATAAGTGACTCATCAGATTGATCTGACTGAGTTGCTCCCATTGTTGCTCTTGGGTAATCACCATTCGGGGCCGGGACAGCTGCCTGAAGTGCCAATTGCATAATGGAATATCAAGCTGGACTTTATCTCGTAAAATTCACAAAAAGTCTTACTTGCTGAGCTATGGAATAACCTTGTCCAGGTGCAGTTGGATAACTGACTGGAGCTGCAGCAGCGTACACTGCGTTTCCGTAAGTTGTTGCAGCATAAACTGGTTCATAGCTGTTAATGTAGGGTGATGGATACTTTACTTCTGGTGGTGAATATTCACCAACTGCAAATGTACTGCCATAACCCATTCCGTTGACTTCAGCCATTTGTCTATGCATTCGGACCTGAGAAATAAGAAGACAAATATCTGTGAACAAAGTTTTCTAAGTTATAACTTTGTCTGCAAAAGTTTAGCGAAAAGAAAAGTATACGTAGAAGGCAGCTATGGAAGTTAATTTACTTCATCTTCAACTTTTTCTCGTTGTTTTTTGCTCATTCTGCCAAATTTTACTGCATCTCGGCTCATACCAAGTTCTAAGCATTTCTTTAGACGACAGAACTGGCATCTATTCCTATTTACACGATCAACTGTGCAATTCTTTTGTCTTGGGCATTGATAATTGACTAGAGCCGATTGGCTACGACGAAAGAAACCCTGTAAAAAGTTACTGTTCAGCTGTTACAAAGCTTTATTGTTCTGCATAATTTTGATGATAGCAACTTCATTACTACGCTGAATGACTGCCTAGTAATAGCAGTTTTAAGCTTTGTGGGAGAAATTCGGAAACAGCAATAAAACTGTTACACCACAACAAATATTCCTTGTTGCGTGAAAAATTTTGCCTCCCTTTTTTTTAAGGATATTTGAAATTTTTTTATATTTAAGACCATAAAAAAGATGATAGGGCAAAGGAAAAAAAAAATAAAGAAACTAAAGTAATATAAATGAAGTTGGAAAAAACAGAAAAAATTTTATTTTTTTCTTTTTTTTTTTTAAATTTAATAATTAAAAAAAATGTTTATTTTTATCGTACTCATAACTGTAAACGGTTTAAATACACCGTAAGTTATTGTGGTTTGCTGTGTGTCGGTAGAGCATAACGGGAATTGGCTGTGTTCCGCTAAACGATAACTGATCGATGACGACTACGGTACTGTTTCTATGTTTACATTATGGCCTCTGCCACGTCAATTGCTAATTGCCGACTGCTATTGGCTTCTTTAGACGTAACATCGGTGTCTAATTGGCTGAACGCTTAGGCTAATTGCTACCGTAGCAATTCTGATTGTTTCTTATGGCCTTTTTGATGACTGTTACATCGGTTACGATTACATCACGAAAGCCGATTAAATCATTGGGGTAAAAATGGGCATCTGAACGGACGGAGATGGCGCACAAAGGAAGAAAAAAAAAGCCAATTTTTTTTTTCATCATTTTTAAAAACTCCATTGCTACAGATTTTGTTTTGGTCATTGTTTGCTACGTATTGTGGCCAACAAACAATAATCGGTCACTGAATGACCGCTAAATTACAGTTATTTAAATTCTTTCATATTTTAAGCGAAAAAAAAAATAGAGGAAAAAAATTAAAAGAAATCAGAAAAAAAATGAAAAGAATAATAGCTGAAAAAAAAAATTTTTTTTTGATTTTTACTTTGTTTTCTTTTACTGTGCAGCAAAAAAAGAATAATTGGACTCTTATCTGTTAGAAATAGTTGATTTAATTTTAACAATTTTATTTTGATATTTTAAGACTATCTCCCTCCTCCTCCCCCACAAAAAAGTCGGCTAACTTTAATTTTGCCATCGATTATTTCTTTCCTTCCACGTTTCTTTGGCGCCATTTGCAAATTGTTGGCAACAAACATACAATCAGCTGACATTGGGCTAAATCAAATTTTATTTCAAGGTTTTTTTCCTCTCTCTCTCTCCCACACCTCCATTTTAGATTTTATTTAAAAGATAATAAAACACATTCTTTTTTCTTTTT